TTTAGATTTGCATTTCTGATGATTAGGGAAGCTGAGCATTTCCTTAGGTGTCGACTACTTCATTATTTTTTTAAGCTGTTTCTATGACTCTCCAAACCCATTTTCTTTTCTTAAGCCTATACACATTGCAAAACTCACTGGAACACATTTAGAGGTTTTTTTTCTTCCCGTCTGGACCTCTTTTACTGTGTTTATTTTAGCCTTAGAAGTTTTGTTTGTTTATTTTTCTTCCCTGTCTGGACCTCTTTTACTGCGTTTGTTTTGGCCTTTTTTTTTTTTTTTTTTTTTTTTTGCCATGTGAGCAATCTTTAAACTGCTAAGCTACAGCTGGGTCCTCCGTGCGACTCTGAGACTCTGATGGCTGGTTCTGCCCGATTCTTGGGTAGTGAAGCCTGAGCTTGGGAGTACATGACCAGGAACTGTATTAGACCTCCCCAGCTGTGGAATGCCTGAGCTGCCACAGGCTGACTGCTGAACAGCAGCCTCTCTTAAAGCAGCCACGTCATTCCCCCTCCCCACCACCCCACAGATTTCTCATGCAAATATGAACCCATGTTGGAACGCCAAAATGTTGTTGGTTGTTTTACTCTGGCTTTTAGCACTTAGCTCTTTGGGGAGGGGGGAGGAGGCACCCAACTCCCAAATAAATCATACCTAGGCTTATTCTTACTTGTGAACGCCAAGCCTTAGCCTGGCTTGTTTCTAGCCAGCTTTTCTTAAATTATCCTGTCTACCTTTTGCCTCTGGGCTTTTGTCTTTCTCTATACCTTTCTCTTCTTCTTACTCCATGGCTGGCTGTGTATCTGGGTGGCCGGCCTGAGGTGTCTTCTCTCCTTCTTTTCTGGTTCCTTGACCCCCCTCTTCCCAGATTTCTGCCCCTCTTTATTCTCTCTGCCTGCCAGCCCCACCTACCCTTTCTCTGCCTAGCTGTTGGCCGTTCAGCTCTTTATTAGACCAATCAGGTGTGTTAGACAGGCAAAATAACACAGCTTCACAGACTTAAACAAATGCAACATAAAATAATACAACACATCTTTGCATCATTAAACAAATATTCTGCAGCATAGACAGATGTAACACACCTAGAAATAATATTTCACAATACCCAAGCATGGAAGACCTTTGCTTTAAATGTCTTCAAAAATGTACTTATTCAAGTGTCTGTGTGTGTGCATGTGTGCGCGTGTCTGTGCGTGTGTGTGTGTGTGTGTGTGTGTGTGTGTGTCTTAGTTTGAGGAGAGGCACCATGACAAGGCAACTGTTATAAAAGAAAGCATTTAATTGGGGGCTTGCTTGCATTCTTAGAGGGTTAGTCCGCGATCATCCCGGCAGGAGCCGGCAGGAGCCGGCAGGAGCCGACAGGAGCTGACAGGCGTGGTGCTGAAGCAGGAGCTGAGAACTTTGCATCCTGATCCACAGGCAGCAGGCAGAGAGATGGGCTGGGGCCTGGGCCTGGGCTTTTGAAACCTCAAAGCCCACCTTCAGGGGTACATCTCCTCCAGAAAGGTCATACTTCCTAGTCCTTCCCTGCTGGGAGTCCAGCTCCAGAGGGATCCAGGTCCCAAAGAGGAGTTGCGGATTTGGTGTCGAGGGAAGGAGACTAATTCTGAGGCTGAATCAGGATGGCTGTCCGTTTATTGAAAACAGACTTACATAGTCTGTAACTGCCTCACAGTAGGGCCACAAGCATTATTGAAAGCAGACTTAATGACTCCAGGCGAAAGCGATCATCATCTTTGCAGCATTTTTCTTGAAATAAGAAAACCATCATTTTAACAAGAATCTAAATGCCTCTTGTCCTCTGAGGTTCAGTAACCCTGCCAGGTGCCTCCGACACTTCCTCCTACACCATCTCAGCCTTGCTCAGGAAGTGTCAGATGGTTCCTCAGAAACAAACCCGCAAGAGGAGTTTTCTTCTTCAACCGGCATGACGCAGTGTTTGGGCCATGTATCACAACAAACATTGAGCTGTTCCTTAACTGAATCCCTTTGTGCCTTAGTCTTATAATACGGGCTTTCTTCCCTCATATGCTCCCAACGAGAAGGTCCTGACATCTTACTCTTCATTGTCCTATACCAGTCTGAGTCCTTCAAGCTATGTTCCTGTATGTGGCAGACGGGGTTCATGACAGTCTAGCTTCGCCACAGACTCTGCTCCCCACGGAGCACCCCAGACCCTGGCATTCATCCAGTAAGCCGCTGATCCTAGGAACTAGTCTGTACTTACTTATTCTACACTTACTTATCATTCATCATTCAGTAAGCCGCTGATTCTAGGAATATTCTGTACTTACTTATCATTCATCCAGTAAGCTGCTGATCCTAGGAACTATTCTACACTTACTTATCATTCATCATTCAGTAAGCCGCTGATCCTAGGAACTATTCTGTACTTACTTATCATTCATCATTCAGTAAGCCGCTGATCCTAGGAACTATTATTTTTATTTATTTATTTATTTTTAAAGATTTATTTATTATATATACAGTGTTCTGCCTGCATGTATGCTTGCACACCAGAAGTAGGCACCAGATCTCATTACAGATGGTTGTGAGCCACCATGTGGTTGCTGGGAATTGAACTCAGGACCTCTGGAAGAGCAGCCAGTGCTCTTAACCTCTGAGCCATCTCTCCAGCCCGATCCTAGGAACTATTCTATACTTACTTATCATTCACTCAGTAAGCCGCTGATCCTAGGTACTATTCTTATATTTTTGGTTGTGAGCCTATCCTTTAACGGCTGAGCCATCTCTCCAGCCCCCTAGGTACTATTCTACACTTACTTATCATTCACTCAGTAAGCCGCTGATCCTAGGAACTATTCTATACTTACTTATCATTCATTCACTAAGCCATTGCTCCTAGGAACTATTCTACACTTATCATTCATTCAGTAAGCCGTTGCTCCTAGGAACTATTCTACACTTATCATTCATCCAGTAAGCCACTAATCCTAGGAACTATTCTGTATTTACTTACTGAACCATTGCCCTTCCTGACTTCAGGCTCTCTGCCATTGTATGTTTTTTGATCCTGGGACCAGGTGTGCCCAGTTAGTAAAATTTCTCTATTCCTGGTGTAATGGGGGGCACAATGGGGAGTCCTCTGGGGGGCAGGGAAGCAGAGTTATCATGCTATGTAGTTCCACGGTGCCCAGGAATTTTCCCCCCAAAATTATTTTTGCTTAAAGAGACTGCCATTGTATACATTTGGATGCCTTGCCAAAGCCCGCACAGATTTCCAAGCGGGAAAGGCACAAGGAAGGACACTTGCACAACCCACAGAGAGGATCACGAAAATGACTGTCAGAAGGTGGCGGAGGGCCGGGCGTTGGTGGCGCATGCCTTTAATCCCAGCACTCGGGAGGCAGAGACAGGCGGATCTCTGTGAGTTCGAGACCAGCCTGGTCTACAGAGTAAGTTCCAGGACAGCCTCCAAAGCCACAGAGAAACCCTGTCTCGAAAAAACAAAAACAAAAACAAAAAAAAGAAGGTGGCGGAGGGCTGCGACCACAACGTGTGAAGGCCGGAACTTTGTTAAGGTGCAGTGGTGGACACACCGTCCACACCACTTTCCCAAGCTGTTCATCCGCCGGGGACCAGCATTCAGACACGGAGGGGGCATTCTCATTCAAACCCCACAGCAAGCCAGTGCTGGGAAGCCAGTTCGAGGCCAGCTTGACCTCCATGAGACTCAGAAATCAAAATCAAGGCCATTGAGGTGACCAAGTGGGTAAAAGCACTTGTCGCTAAGCCCGAGAGTCTGAGTTCGATCCCGGAGACCCACCTGATGGAAGGCGAGAAATGACCCTTGAACACTGTCCTCTGACCTTCGCATGTGTAGACACACACACATACACGAACAGAGACACAGACACACAGACACACACACACACACAGTGTAATTTTAAAAAACCCAACCTGAACCAAAATGTCTTTCAAACCATGTGATTCCAGAAGCCACCTTAACCATGTGATACGGTGACTGATTCCATGACCCGACAGTTAAGACCCTCCTGCTGGACTCCCAGGCCCAAAACTGCCTGTAACTCCAGCTCCAGAGGACCTGACGCCTGCAAGGCACCTGCACACACATGCACAAACACATAATAAGAGATAAAAGTGTTGGGCCGGAGAGAGGCCTCAGAGGTTAAGAGCACTGGCTGCTCTTCCAGAGGTCCTGAGTTCAATTCCCAGCACCCACATGGTCGCTCACAACCATCTGTAATGAGATCTGGTGCCCTCTTCTGGCATGCAGGCATACACACAGGCCGAACACTGCACATACAAATAAATAAAATCTTTTTTAGAAAGTGATTTAGAAGTTGTAAGGCTCTCAACCATTTCCCCAGAGCCTGCTCCTTTTCCTGAGAGACTCTCTCTTTTTTTTTTTTTTGGTTTTTCAAGACAGGGTTTCTCTGTATAGCTTTGGAGGCTGTCTTGGAACTCGCTTTGTAGAACAGGCTGGCCTCAAACTCACAGAGATCCGCCTGCCCCTGCCTCCCGAGTGCTGGGATTAAAGGCGTGCGCCACCAACACCCAGCTTGCTCTTTCTCTTAATGCACATATTAAAGCTGTTATAAAAGTCTTTTCTAGAGCCAGCAAGATGGCGCAGGGACTGGAGTCTGAAGCCCCAGAACCTCCCTTCGGGAGCAGGCCTGTAACTCCAGCATGCAGAGGGCAGATCCCCGGGGCAAGCTGGCTAAGGAGTCTAGAAGGGCTGCTGAGCTCACAGTTGAAGTGAGAGACCTTGAGGGTCGGGAGGGGCCAAGGAAGATTCTTGGTGTCGATGATGCGTCTCCCCATGCATGCCAGACACACGCACAGGTACATGCGTGCATGCACACCTACAGACACATGAACATATCACACGCACACAATCAACCCACCAGGCATTGGTGGCATATGCTTTTAATCCCAGCACTCGGGAGGCAGTTCCAGGACAGCCAGGGCTACACAGAAAAACCCTGTCTTAGACAACAAAACAAAACAATCAAGAATAAAATTTTTAGAAATCCAACTTTGTTACTTGGGTGTGGTGGTGGCCCAGGCTACCAAGGGATTTCAAGGCTAGCCTGGACTACATGACACACCTGTCTCAAAAAACAAAAAAAACAAAAAGCAAGTGAAAAGAACAAAACCTCAAAAAGCTCCCGGCTTGTCTTTAGTGGAAGTCCAAAGGATCTCCTCAGGCTCAGCTGGGGGTAGAGTAAAGCCCACATCCGGCTCCACTGTCACTCACCCTGGGTCCCCTTGCTGGACACTCCTGTTAGGATCTGCTTCTGTAGGCCCTACAAGAGAGACAGAGGCTGGGGTTGTGACTCTGTTGCACAGGCTTGCAAAGCCCTGGAGGAGACCCCACACTTGGGAAGTGGAGGCAGGAGGATCGGGAGTTCAAGCCATCCTGAGCCTGGCCTCCTCAAGGAGGAGTGCCAAACTAAAACAATGGAAGGAAGGAAGGAAGGAAGGAGAGGTCCACTCGGGGCAAGGGGCCGTCTTGCTGCCAGCTCTCTCGTTTTTTTTTTCCAGGGTGGACACAGCTGTGACGACCCCGTCCCTCTCCTAGGCTCTGCTGGGAGGATGGGTGGAGAACCGGGTGTCAGACGCAGGACACAGCTTCCGTCTTCTTTTCTGCAGCCGAGGAGGAAAGTTCCAGAACTCAGACAGAGATGACAGCTCCCCTGCCCATCCTCCAGGAAGCCCACTCCCTCTCTCCACACCCCTTCCCAGTGACGGTGCCCTTTCTCCGGCCATTCCTTTCCTCTGAAAGCCCAGAAGGGAAATGAAGCACACTCTTTAAGGACTACGCCCTCGATGACTAACCAGGTTCCCCAGACTGCCAGTTGTCGGGTGGTTTCCTCCCAACAGATTGAGTGACGAAGGTGGCCCCACCCCACCCGGCTTCCCTGGTGCTCTCCGCGCGCGCCCGCCACCCCCGTGGCTTCCTGGGAATCTCCCCTTCTGTTCTTGCTCGGTAGATGTTCGTTATAGTGGTCACAGCTCTTCTTCTGGGAAACTCTCCAAGACCCCTGGCTGGGTATGGACAGCCACTGGGCTTCCCTATTCAAGTCCTTCCTGAGGCAGGACGGAAAGGCACGGGATGTTTGAGAGGACCTGGGGCACCTGTGAAATTCTCAGGATCTTTCCAGAAACTCCATTTATGGGGAGAAGGCTTATTAGCAGACCTTTCAAAACCCTAGTGACACCGGGCGTTGGTGGCGCACACCTTTAATCCCAGCACTCGGGAGACAGAGGCAGGCGGATCTCTGTGAGTTCGAGGCCAGCCTGGTCTACAAAGTGAGTTTCAGGACAGCCTCCAAAACAATACAGAGAAACCCTGTCTCGAAAAACAAAACAAAACAAAACAAAAAAACCCTAGTGACTCTGCATTTACCTTAACGGACTACAGTTCCACCCAAGGCATGTTCAGAGTAGTAGGGAGCTGCAGATAGTTCCGTGCAGACGCTGGATTGCAGGATGCCCTCCTTTCCACCCCTGACACGGAGGTGGTGACTCATGCCTGCCATCCTAGCACTTGGGAGGTGAAGGCAGGAGAGCCAGGAGTTCAAGGTCACTCTTGTCTCCACAGCAAGTTTAAGGCTGGTTGTGGGGGTCCCTGAGACTCTGACTCAAAAAAAAAAAAAAAAAAAAAGGGTTGAAGACATAAGCCAGCCCTTAATATCACTCCTTGCTCTTCCAAAGGTCATGAGTTCAGTTCCCAGCACCTGGGTCAGGTGGCTCACAGACCCCCGTAACTCCAATTTCAGGAGTCTCTGCCGCCCACCTCCAGACTTCCAAGGCAAGGCACTCAGGTGCCCAAACCCATACACATATAGACACGACCTATAGAGAAAAATTTCTCATGATGGAGGGAGGGAGCGAGAGAGGGAGGGAGAGGGAGGGAGGGAGGAAGGGAGGGAAAGAGAGAGAGACAGAGACAGAGAGAGAGTCTTGAGGAAAAGACTAGAAAGGGAGGCTGAGAGTGTAGATAGTGTGGGACTGGAGGACCCCGAGACCGGGACAGGGCTGGGCTGAGAGTCCTGTGTGAGAATGCAGTGAGTCATGCAGTGAGTCACAATTGGAATGCATCCATCCGCATTGCGGAAACCTATCTGTGTCTCCCCCCCATCAGGGCAGGCGAACTGGCCCTGAACTCGCCAGAGACAGAAGGAAGATGGTGCACTGCTGCGGATTAGGAAACAGAGGCAGAATTACAGAGCCCCCACCCGCTAGTCCAAACCTCCAGCAGACATCACTAATCAATCCAAGTGCTCCCTCTGGGGTTCGTAGTGGCAGACATCACTAATCAATCCAAGTGCTCCCTCTGGGGTTCACAGTGGCAGACATCACTAATCAATCCAAGTGCTCCCTCTGGGGTTCACAGTGGCAGACATCACTAATCAATCCAAGTGCTCCCTCTGGGGTTCACAGTGGCAGACATCACTAATCAATCCAAGTGCTCCCTCTGGGGTTCACAGTGGCAGACATCACTAATCAATCCAAGTGCTCCCTCTGGGGTTCACAGTGGCAGACATCACTAATCAATCCAAGTGCTCCCTCTGGGGTTCACAGTGGCAGACATCACTAATCAATCCAAGTGCTCCCTCTGAGGTTCACAGTGGCAGACATCACTAATCAATCCAAGTGCTCCCTCTGGGGTTCACAGTGGCAGACATCACACTACCCGGTGCCAGCACACTCAGGAAACATAGATGAGTTCCCAGAATTCTTTTGTTTTTGTTTTTGTTTTTCAAGACATGGGGGGTTCTCTATAGCTTTGGAGCCTGTCCTGGAACTCACTCTGTAGACCAGGCTGACCTTGACTCACAGAGATCCGCCTGCCTCTGCCTCCTGAGTGCTGGGATAAAGGTGTGTGCCACCACCGCCTGCCAGAGTTCATAATCTAGTAAATACTCTTAAGCAGTCACTACAGGTCTCTTAAAAACAGTAGCTGGGGGCTGGAGACATGGCTCAGAGGTTAAGAGCACTGACGCTCTTCCAGAGGTCCTGAGTTCAAGTCCCAGCACCCACATGGTGGCTCACAACCATCTTTAGTAAGATCTGGTGCCCTTTTCTGACCTGCAGGCATACACACAGACAGAACACTGCATACATAATAAATAAATTAATTAAAAAAAAAAAACAGTAGCTGGGGGTTGAACCCAAGCTACAACCACAGAAAGCCACAGAATTGCTATCAGGACAAATGGTTGCTGTTTCAAGCTGCTGCATTCCAGGGACAATTTGTTACCTGCAGATGCTGATTAACACACACACACACACACACACACACACACACACACACACACACACACACACACCCGCAGAACTCAAGCTGGCATGGCGCCAGAGAATTAGCAACTAGCTCTAATCCCCACTGGGCCGCACCTGGCCTAGCTCGGGAGAGTTAACACCTATCCCCAATCCATCCTTTGTTGAGTGGATACCTTTTGTCAGGGAGTTTCTCAAGGGCACAAAGCCTATGGGAAACTTGGCTCAGGAAACCCAGAAAACTGTGGTACCGGTGAATCCAGACTCTGCACTTGGCATTGTGTTTTTGGAAGCCTCATTCAAGTTGTTCAGAGTATATGGTAATCAAGTGGCTACAATGTAAACATAGAGAAAGATAAAAATGCCCTGGGCGAGGGGAAAGTGCTTCAGTCCTTCGAGGCTGGGGACCCCTGCAGCCTCAGAGGACTAAGTTCATTCCTTTTTGTTTTTGTTTTTGAGACAGGGTTTCTCTGTATTGATTTGGAGGCTGTCCTGGAAACGGCTCTGTAGACCAGGCTGGCTTTGAACTCACAGAGATCCGCCTGCTTCCTTCTTAAAGTGTCTCTGAGCTTTCTTTTGACAGAGCCGCCGAGTGGACTTCGACTGAGCCGCGTGAACCCAACACCCTTGGATTCTGGGAAAGCCTCCGGCTTCTTGAATGGACTCTGGCTAGCTCCAGCTCAAGCCCGGCGTGGACTATGCCCTTCTCCGGATTCCTTCTGCCTTGTTAAAAACCGATCTTGTTCCTAAAGCTGCCACCAAGGTCTGGCACCTTATTTGGCCACTTCCTCCTCCCGAGGCTGATTACCAAGGTCCAGCTACCAAAGTATTGAAGTCCAATAACCCAAAGCTCCCTTTGGCTGTCCTAATTAACATGCCCAATTAAAGTGAATTATCTTATCCTAGCGTGGGGTTTCCCCTTTACCTTTATAAACCACCATTTACCTATATTCTGAGTCTGTCTCCTCTCTATCCAGAGGCGGTCCTCTGTCCCTCTGGGGCAGATATCTCTTCCCCTTCTCCCTTGACTGTTGGGAGCGCCTCAGGTATCTTGATCTTTTGGAGCCAAATCTGTACTTTCTAAAGTCCAAAGATTTACATAATTGGCCTTAACAAAGGAGCCTTCTGGGGGCACTCAGAAGAGAAACAGCATAGGTAGAACACAAGAACGCCATGACCCAGAAAGCTTGTCCAAACTCAGCCAGCCCTAACCATCACCTAGACAACGCCGTTAGCACACCCATTCCTCTCCCTCCTCAACTTTTTACCTCGCCAATATCCTGCTCTGTGGGCTTAAAAATACCCTGCTAGCCAGGCGGTGGTGGCGCACGCCTTTAATCCCAGCACTAGGGAGGCAGAGGCAGGCGGATCTCTGTGAGTTCGAGGCCAGGCTGGACCGACAGCCTCCAAAACAATACAGAGAAACCCTGTCTCGTAAAACCAAAAAAAAAAAAAAAAAAAAAAAAAAACCCTGCTACGTGCGCACCTGTGAGCAAACACCCCTCTGATCCCTCACCCCTCACCCCCTCTGGTTGTCCTGCTCTACCAAGTATATTAACTGCCTTCAGAAAAATTAAAATTGCCACATGATCAGCTGCTTGTCTTGTGGCCATTCCTTCCTGTCTTCCTGTCCCCATCCCCGGTCCTTAGGTCTCTTGCTCCAGGTTGACGTCCTGCAGGTCGGGATGCTCGACCTTTTCTCTTCTCTCTTATACCTAGTCCACTATCTCTTGTCTTTGTCCTTCCTTGTCCTTTGTCCCTGTGGGGCAAATACATTTCCTTCATGCTGAGGACTTGGTTTTGGGAGTCCTGAGCTGGGGGGGGGGGTTAACTGATCCTTTCCCTTCTTATATTAAATTCTTCCTCCTGTTCCCCCCCCTCCTTCCCCTAAGCCAGGGAGTTTCTTTTGCTTGGTCCAAGAGGCTGAAGGGTAGAGACGGTGGTGTTCAGGGAGCAGGTGGGTTGCGCCGATGGGGGTGTTAGCAGGGGGCGGGAGAACGGGAAAGCAACGCTTTATTCAATAGGGCAGGGACATCTCGGGGTCGAACGGAAGGAGGAGGTCCCCGAGGAAGCTCAGCATGGACAGTCATCCTGTCCCGAGATTCCTTTCCTGGGGTTTATGCTCAGCTGCGCACCGGCTACAGCTGCATATTCACGGGCTGCAGCTGCGTATTCACCGGCTGCAGCTGCGTATTCACCGGCTGCAGCTGCGTATTCACCGGCTGCAGCTGCGTATTCACCGGCTGCGCGTTTCTCTTCCCGGGGGTCAGTTCTGTGAGATTAGAAGGGAGGGCCAGGGAGGAAGGAGAGAGAGGGGGGGGAGAGCATGAGATGGGGGTGGGGAGGGAGAGAGCGCAGCACTGCTATGTGAGGTACCAACAATTAAAATTAATAAGAGTTTAGAAACCTGGGCCCTAAATCTACACAGAGAAAGGGAACTTCTAATGGAAAAGGAAACTCTTTAAAACCAGAGAAGGGCCGGGCGGTGGTGGCGCTCGCCTTTAATCCCAGCACTCGGGAGGCAGAGGCAGGCAGATCTCTGTGAGTTCGAGGCCGGGCTGGACTGATAGCCTCCAAAACAATACAGAGAAACCCTGTCTCGTAAAAACCAAAAACAAACAAACAAACAAACAAACCAGAGAAGGGGAGGTAACTGTCCCCCACTCCTGCTGACATTCCTTGTTAATTGCTGGTCATAAAGATCTCCTGCCAGCTGTAAAGATCTCCAAGCCCAGGGGACAGCTGACAGACCCTGTGACCCCATGCCCTGTCTTATCTCACTCAACTGCATCTTGCTTAAAATATATAGTTACTGCTTTACCCTGTCCTTGGTATGACCTTGAGTAACCATGGAAACTGAAATGTGTGGCCTTCAGCCGTATGGTCTGCCGCTTTCAAAGCTCCACCATGGAAAGAGATCCGGCTGGCCAGCTGAACAATAAATGGAACCTTTTGTTTTTGCATCAGAGCATCGACTGCTTGGGTTGGTCTCTGGGATTCTGCAAACCCAGCACAACACTGTGCATTGCCCTGTGACTCCTCCAAAGTCATACATGGAAGACCTAACTCTTTTTTTTTTTTTTTTTTTTTTCGAGACAGGGTTTCTCTGTATTGTTTTGGAGGCTGTCCTGGAACTCGCTCGGTAGACCAGGCTGGCCTCGAACTCACAGAGATCCGCCTGCCTCTGCCTCCCGAGTGCTGGGATTAAAAGCGTGCACCACCCTAACTCTTATTTTACATTTTTCAGGTGTGTGCACATGAGTGTGCGTGATCAGGCTTTGTCTCCTTCTGCTATGTGGTTCCTGAGACCAAACTCAGACCCCCGGGCTTGGCACAGCCTACTTTACCCACTGAAGCCCTCTCCTTGCTCAAGACTTTGTCCAGCTGTCTCCTTTCTCTGCAGGGTGGATCCTGGCCCCTGTCCCACACCCCCCAGCCCCCTTCCTGACATGTTTGCATCCCTAACAGGACACCAGGGGCCTGGGAAGTGCACTCACAAAGCCCATCTCTGCATAAGGGCTGTTCAGGCACCCGAAGTCTGGCTGCGCTTAGCTTATGACCATCCCCGATTTCTCAGATGGGCACGCTGAGCCCCGAGGCGACGCCGCTTCTCCAAAGCTTCAGGAAACTGAGATGTGAGACCAAAAACTTAAAGTGAATAAAAGTTTAAAAACTTGGGCTGCTGAATCTATGCAGAGAAAAAGGAAAGTTCTAGTAATAAAGGGGAGTTTGACCCCTCAACCGGGAGTGCCTGATGAGGCACCCAGCCCAGCTCTTAGAGAAGGAGTTAACTCCCCACCACCTGTGTCAACATTCCTTTGGTCTAAAGAAAACCAGATAACCACTAATTGCCTGTTGTGAAAGTCCCCTGCCGGTTGTAAAACCCAGGGGACAATAGACAGACTCCTGACTCCATGCCCCCTGGACCCCCTGTCCCTGCCTTATCTTGTTCAAATGTGTCTTACTAAAATACATAGTCTTTGCTTTACTTTGTACTTTGTACCACCTTGAGTAACCATGGAAACTTTGTAATATGGTTCTCAGCCTTGTGGTGTTCGCCTATAACCCACCCCTCCCCGCTCCAGTTTTTGTTAGGGACCTCTGCCTCTTCCCAGCGTGGAGGTCCCTGCCGGCTTGAACAATAAAGAAACCTTTGCTTTTGCATCGGAGTGGGTTCCTTGTGGAGGTCTGTTTGGGGGTCCTGCGAACCTGGCAAAAGAGTGAGCCCCAGCAGCCTGTTACTCATAGCTTCTCTCGTCACTTTGGAAGCCAGTGGGTCAGAGGGCCGCAGTCATTCTTTCCCAGGGACCGGTGGGATTTTTGTTAGAATCCGACTTGCTGTAGCTCCCTGGCTGTGTGACTTGGAGCTAACGTCTCGAGTTCTCTGTTTCTCATCTGTAAAGCTGGGATTGAATAGAAGTGAGCTCATTCTCCTGGCGGAGTGCCGCGAGTCCGGCTCGCCGTAGCTTGGAGTGGGTGTCCCCTGGTGGGCCAGTGGGAGGGGCAGAATTACCTTCAGCGCCGAGCAGCACGAGGCCGCCCAGGGTGGCCGCCACGACGAGGCCGATGGCAGATCCTCCTGACAGGGACAGGACGTTGTGGCCGGGCTTCACCGGGTTAGCGGTCGTGGGAGCCGCAGCTGTGGGAGCCCCGGAGGCTTCTGGGAATTAAGGGGCAGGGGCAGGACTGAAGGATCCACCTCCCTCCTCCACACCCCTGTCCTTGTCATTCCATCTTTGAATGAACTCCAGGGGACCCTATTCCTCTACTCAGAATCCTGCTGTGGCTCCCCGGGGCCTGGGGTCTGTCACCAGCAGCCGTCCAGTCACGGGGTCTTTTTATAACCAGGCTCCTGTCCGCACACCCTCTTCTTCCTCCGTTTCCAAGGACATCCTCTTCCTCCACCGCTCCCAGCCCTCCATTTCTGTCCCCTTCCTTGCCAGGGCCTGCGTAGCCCTTATATATGGCAGAACTAGTTCAGGTTGCCCCTCCTCCAGGAGGTCCACCCTGATTCCCAGGCTCAATCACGGCCCGCAGTTCCCAAAGCCCCCTCATCTTAGTCCTGTCTGTTCTGGTCCCAGGGGTGAGGGGTGGTCTGTTCCCGTTAGCTCCCAGTCTGGAGTGGTCTTGGTCACTAGGGTGTCCCCAGCTTGGCCTGCCATGGGCTGAGCACGCTTCAGCTGCTCAGTAAACATCTCCTGGGTGGTTGAGTGAATGCAGAGGCTTTGGAGGCCGGGGAGATGGCTCTGAAAGATGAGGATTCAAGTTCGGATCTCCAGAACTCCTGTAAAAAGCCAGCGCTTGCATTATGTAACCCCAGTGCTGTGGTTGGGGAGGGGCAGAGACAGGCAGGCGGGCCCCTGAAGCTCATTGGCCAGCTGGTCTAGCTGAATCTGTGAACCCCAGGTTCAGGAGCAGGTGTACATGTCCATGTCTCAGTGGGCGACAGAACACATGGGCACTAACTGAACACAGCAGGTGGCAAAGAAGAGGGGGATGGGGAGATACTTGTGGGGAGCCGGAGGAGAGCATGGGGTGGATAGGATCAAAATGCATTGCATACAGTATGAAATTCTCAAGGAATAAGCTTAACTTTTTTTTTTTTTTTTTATGGACAGCATTTGAGAGATGCCCAGTATCAGCCTCTGGCCTTGTTGTGTGGACGTTTCCCTGGAGATCATAGTCTTCTATTTTGGAGGGAAACTTTTGTTTCTTTCCTCAAACTCACGGAAATCCACCTGCCTCTTCCTCCCAGTGCTGGGATTAAAGTCTTGCGCCACCAATGCCCTGGCTTGGACATTTCTTAAGACACAGGGTGTAAAAGCAAAGCGAAACAAGATCTCTCTCTCTCTCTCTCTCTCTCTCTCTCTCTCTCTCTCTCTCTGTGTGTGTGTGTGTGTGTGTGTGTGTCTCCGAGTGACTTCCATCCCAGAGAGAAGCCTTTTCAAACAGGAAACAAACAACTCAAAACAGCTTTAGGAGGTCAGAGAGAGTACATCAGCAGTGACTGCTGAGAGTCACTCTGGGACAAGCCTAGGTGACAAGATTACACTCCAGCAAAGAGAGCCTCCAGAAAGGACTGCAGGGACTCTAGCCGCACCAGCATGGTAAACACGGCTCTGGCAGGCCTTGCCCTTCTCCCCATTCCCTCTGCCTTGCTAAAACAGACAGACAGACAGACAGACAGACAGACAGACAGATTACATTCCTAAAGCTGCCACCAAGGTCTATTCGGTTATTTGGCCACATCCTCCTCCCGAGGTGGCCTACTCTAAGGTCCAGCTACGAAAATATTAAAGTCCAATAACCCAAAGCTCCCTTTGGCTGTCTTAACTAACAGTCCAATTAAAATGAATTATCTTATCCTAGCGTGGGGTTTCCCCTTTTACCTTTATAAATCACCATTTACCTATGGGCCGCGAATGTCTCCTCTCTATCCAGAGGCGGTCCTCTGTCCCTCTGGGACAAATACCCTTTCCCCTACTCCCTTGTCCTCTCTCGCGCGTGACTTTGCCTCTTATTCCCTGCCCTCTGTCCCTCTGGAACAAATAAACCTCCTCTGTGCTGAGAACTTTGTCCTGCGGAGCCTGCGCTGATGCTTTCAAGGTCACTCCCCACCCTGCTGAGCGGCCTGCAGGCTGTGCAGTGCGCTCCGGTTTCCCAGCGCTGGGAGATGCCACTCACGCCGGGGTGGGCTTTGCTGCGCTGGAGTCATCTCTGCTTCTGTAAATAATTCCAGACCCACACTGTCGCAAGTAACCCCACTAAAACTCAGCAGTCCACCGAGTTGGACTTGGGCGGTATCCTTACTATGGGTTCCCTATTTGGGGTTGCAGCGGGGTCGCGGCAGGGGTAGAATTCATCTCTGAGCCGCAGTCTGTCGTATGCAAAATGGGTTGATGCAGGGTGGGGGAGATAGCCCAGGGGATCAAGTGCCCGCGTGTGGGGGGGGGTGGGAGGAGATGGCGGGGGGGGGGTCCTAGAGCAAGCTGGCTAGCCACACTGGTTGTATTGCTGAGCCTGGAGTTGAGCTGAGAACCCCTGCCTCCGTGAGTAAGACGGGGCGCGCTTGAGGAAGATCCTTGAAGTCAGTCTCGGGCCTTCGTACTTACAAGGAAAGACGCGCAAACGTTCACACAGATGTACGTGGGAGAAATGGGAGGGGGTGGAGCTAAGAGGCCACAGCCCACCACGTGGAAGGAAAGACGGAACGACAATTGGGCTACGGGAAGCCGGCCGCGCATGCATGTGGGCACAGAGATCTGCGGGACACTCACGCCTCCGTGAGACAGTGAGCTCAGAGACCAGCTCTTCGTCTGCGGTCTTGGCTGTGCACAGGTGCTGTGGGGACAGTCGCCAGATAAAAGCTTCTCCTCCCTTCCGCATGGCTTCCCATTCAAGGTCCAGCTTAGCACAGGCGCTGGGTTCATGCTCGCAGCCCACTCCAGGATCACAGAGAAGTTAAGGTCGCTGGAGATGACGCCCTTCGAAGACTCTGGGAAGGTCACCAGCCGGACCAGGCCCGGGTTGTCTGTGGGGACAGAGAGCAAGTAACCTCCCAGAGACACTGGCATCTCCAGTTGTATGCACGCATCCATTCATTCACGCGCACGCACTTTCATTCACTCGTGCATTCATTCATCCCTACGGGGCTCACCGGCTCCTGTGTCCCGTGGCCTGTGGGCAATCATAGTGACTGTAGTCACAGAATTAATTCTACTGCTACCATAGTACAAGGTTACTGAGTCAGGCACACTTTTATTTATTTATGTACAGGGTTTCTGTGTATTGTTTTGGAGGCTGTCGGTCCAGCCCGGCCTCGAACTCACAGAGATCCGCCTGCCTCTGCCTCCCGAGTGCTGGGATTAAAGGCGTGCGCCACCACCGCCTGGCTATTTATGTACTTATTTTTGTGTGCATTGGTGTCTTGCCTGCTTGTATGCCTGTATGAGGGTGCCGTACCCCCTGGAACCCATTACAGACAGTTGTGAGCTGTCATGTGGGTGCTGTGAGTTGAACCTGGGTCCTCTAGAAGAGGAGCCAGTGCTCTTAATGCTGAGTCAGTTCTCCAGCTCCACGACGCAATTATTTTAAGCTATTTCTAACATAACAGAGGCGGATTGTGTGTAATTGTATTGTGTGTGTGTGTGTGTGCGCGCGCGAGTGCGTGTCTGCTTGCCTGCCTGTCTGTCTGTCTGTCTGCTACCCAGTCTTACTGTGTAGCCCTGGCTTGCTTTGCTTTATTTTTTTTTTCATTAAATTCAGTAGCTGCTCCTTAAGCAATTGCTGTCCTAATGAGCAGTTGCAACCTTGAAGCTAGCATTGGTATGGCTTCAGCTGGCCTAGCCTTAGCCAGGCAGGAATTCTGCTCCCTCAGGCACAGGCTCTATCACAGCTGCTAAAGGGAACTGTATGTATCTAGAGGTCTATCCCTCTACAGAACTCGGGGTTCAAAGGCTGAGGTGAAATCCTGTTAGCCCTGAAAGGCTGAGTAGCAAGTAGCTAACCTTCTCTCCTAGCTCCTGTTTCCCCCAAAGCAGTAAGAACCCCAGCTGCACACGCTTCCTCCCTCTCTACCACTTCCTGTCAGATAGCTGCTGATTCAGCATCCTGGCTCCCGGCTAATTTTATTTAATCAAACAAAGGTAACACTGGCCGGGCGGTGGTGACGCACGCCTTTAATCCCAGCACTCGGGAGGCAGAGGCAGGCGGATCTCTGTGAATTCGAGGTCAGCCTGGTCTACAGAGCAAATTCCAGGACAGCCTCCAAAGCCACAGAGAAACCCTGTCTTGGAAAAAAAAAGTAACAGGTCTTTGCACCATTAATCAGCTACTCCACAGCATAAATGAATGTGACACATCTATAATTAATAGTCTATGACACTGGCTGTCCTGGAACTTGCTATGCAGCCCAAGCTGGCTTCAAACTATTTTCCTTTAAGACTTCTTTATTACATTTCTTGAAAATGTATTTTTATTGTACAAATGGGTATCTGAGAGGGTGTGGTGCATACAGAGGTCAGAGGACAATTTGTAGGTTCTCTCCTTCCACCGTGTGGTTGATGGAAGTTCAATTCAACTCATCAGGCTTGATGACAAGTGCTTTTTACCCTCTGAGCCATGTCACTGGAAAATTCTAGGCAGGGGCTCTACCACTGAGCCACTCACCAGCCCCTCACTGGGGAACTCTAGGCAGGGGCTCTACCACTGAGCCATGCTCCCAGCCACTCACTGGGGGACTCTAGGCAGGGGCTCTACCACTGAGCCACGCTCCCAGCTCCTCACTGGGAGATTCTAGGCAGGGTCTCCTCTGCTAAGCTCTATTATAACCTTGTTTCTGCTCTTTATTTTGAGACAGAATCTCATTAAATTAGCTGTCCGGGATGGTGATCCTCCTGCCTTGGCCTCTTGAGTAGCTGGGAGTGCAGGCCTGAGTCACAGGGTCTGACTGCATTAGGGGCTTTATAAGGAGAGAAAGGAAGACTTGAGCTGATGCACTTGCCACGTCTGCCTTGCCAAGGGAAACCATTATCCAGTTAGAGCAAACACGGGCCCCTACCAAGAGGTAGGCCTTGGGCCTCCCTGCCTTTAGAACTTTTGCCAACAAAATGTCATTTTTGAAATAGACGATGTGTGTTTGGGACAAAATCTCATGTATCTCATGTTTGTCTCCAAAATCACGATGTGCCCCTGAACCCCTGATCCTCCTGCTTTGACCCCTACGTGCTGAGATTACAGGAATGTGCTACCGTACTGTATTCTGACTAGTGTTTGCTTTCCAACTTGACTCAAGCTAAAGTTATCTGGAAAGAGGGGACCTCAATTGAAAAAATGCCTCCTTAAGATTGGCCCATAGGCAAGTATGTGGGGTCATTTCTTCTCTCTGTCTCTCTGTCTCTCTCGTCAGGGTTTCTCTGTGAAACAGTCTTGGCTGTCCTGGAATTCACTCTGTAGACCAGGCTGGCCTCGAACTCACAGAGATCTGTCTCCTCTGCCTCTAGAGTGCTGGGATCAAAGGTTTGTAGCACCACATTTGGCTTTTCTACCCTTTTTTGGTTGTTTTGTTTTTGTTTTTTGAGATAGGGTTTCTCTGTGTATCTTTTGAGCCTGTCCTGGAACTCACTCTATAGACCAGGCTGGCCTCCAGAGATCCACCCGAGTCTGCCTCCGAGAGCTGGGATTAAAGGCGAGTGCCACCAACACCCAGCTCATTTTCTTGATTAATGGTTGACTTAAGAGGGCCCAGCTCCCTGGGGGCAGTGACACTGCTGAGAGGGTCTTGAGTGACATAAGAAAGCAGAGGGAGGGGCTGGAGAGATGACTCAGGGATTAAGAGCACAACACTGATAGCTCTTCCAGAGGACCTGGGTTCAGGACCTGCACGGCAGCTCACAACTGTCCACAACTCCAGTTACAGAGGATCCTACACCCTCATACAGACGTACATGCAGGCGCAGTGCCAATGCACATAAATAAAGGTAAAAAGAAAAGCTGGGCTGTGGTGGCGCACGCCTTTAATCCCAGCACTCGGGAGGCAGAGGCAGGCGGATCTCTGTGAGTTCCAGGCTGGGCTGGACCGACAGCCTCCAAAACAATACAGAGAAACCCTGTCTCGTAAAACCAACAACAACAACAACAAAAAGAAACCAATTAGAGTGGTGGAGAACGACCCAGTAAGCATTAGTCCTCTGTGTCCTCTGCTTCTGGACCAGGTTCCTGCCCTGACTCCCCTTTGCGATGGACCATTACCCAGAAGCCTCAGATAAAATGCCTCTTCTCCTTCCCAAGTTGACTCTGGTCATTGTGTTTTACCACAGCAATAGAAACCTGACCTACAGCACCTGACTTTAAAAAAACCTCCATTCTTTATAAATTATCCAGTCTCAGGGAGTCTGTGATAACAAGAGAAAGTCTGACACAGGTGACTAATTAATCACTGTGCCAGAGATGCCCTGTTGGGCCCTGCCGGGTGTTGTCGGTCTGATTTCTGAGAACTGGGTCCCTCTTTGTGGGACTCACTCACACTTGACTTGATTGTGTTCTGTTGAACTCCCGTGGGACTTGCTGGCGTCCCGCACCTCAGTGTCTTGAGTCGGCGCATTCCTGATGAGCAAGCTGCCGTCGGTGTGCGGTACGTCTTGGCTGGTGTGAGGATGTCCCAGAAGGTGCTGCTGTCCCTTGGGAGAGATCGTGGCTGGTGGCTGGGCTTCCGGCTCTCGGAACCAAGAAGTGCTGAGAACCCCATCAAGGGTTCTGGGGACGGGGGGGAGGGGGGGTGCGCGCTCCTTCCGTCTGGAGCGACTTGGAGGCAGTTGAACAGGTGCAGGAGGTGAGCAGGGTACCTTGGAGGAGGAGGGGACAGCAAGGAATGAGTGAGACCACAGGTGACACCCTCCCTGCCCACAAATGAACCAATGGTGCGGGTGCTGGAGAAAGCAGTGCTGTTTTGGAGAGCTTATAGAATCTAGAGGACAGAGGCTTTCCGTGTATTTATTTATTCTTGGCTTTTCGAGACAGGGTTTCTCCGTATAGCAGCTCTGGCTATCCAGAAACTCGCTCCGCAGACCAGGCTGGCCTTGAATTCACAGAGATCCTCCTGCCTCTGCCTCCCAACTGCTGGTATTAAGGACGTGTGTCACCACCTCCCAGCTAAGTACAGGGGTCCTAAATCTGTGGGTTGCGGGAGTCAAATGACCCTTTCACAGGGGTCACATTGTTGGGGACCAGGTCACTGAATCTATTTCTTGCCCCAAGGCACTTCCCAAAACTCAGGGTCCTTCCCACAGATGGCCTGGTGCCAGAGATAACTCATCACTTAACAGTTAACACCTGTACTCCCTGGTGAACTTTCCTGCTGTCAAACACTCCCCCCCCCCCAATAGCGCCCCCCCCCTCACTTCCCAGTGTCTCCGGTCTAACAGCCTCCACCCCATGGCCAATGCCACATTCCCCTATTTAACCCTGTACAGAACTCATTAAACGGCGGCTTGATCGGAAGGTCTGTCTTGCTGTTCATCTCTCTCTCGTCTCTTGTCTTATTCATTCCAGGTTCCCGTGGGCTCAAACCCATTGTGCCCTGCTGGCCAGGGCACCACATATCAGATATTCCGCATACCAGATGTTTGCATATTATGATTCATAGCAGTAGCAAAATTACGGTTATGAAGCAGCAATGGCGATAACTTTATGGTTGGGGGTCACTGTATTGAAGGGTTGCAGTGTTAGGAAGCTTGAAAACCCCTGCTCTCGGCCAGAGACCCTTGCTGAAGGAAGTACGTCACTGGGGGCAGGTCTTGAGTGCTTATGACCTGGCCATACTTCCTGTTCTCCCCCGTCTTCCTGTGGTTGATTGAAAACATGACCAAACAGCTTCCTGGCGGTGTGGCCATGATTCCCTGACTGGTTGTCATTCCTTCCCGACTGGATTCTATCCCTTGGCACTCAAACAAAACAAGCCCTTTTCTTTCTTAACCTGCTTGTTGCCAGTATTTTACCACAGCAACAGGAGAGTAGTTAATACAAGTGATACAGAGGCCGGGAGCTACGGCGAATGACTGTGATCCCGGCACTTGATGGGTAGGAGACAGGAGTTCAAAGCCAACCACATACCAAACTTGAGGCCCTGTCTCAAACAAATGGTTTGTGACTGGGGAATGTCCTTCTGTATATATGTTTCGCTTATTGGTTGATGAATAAAACACTGTTGGCCAATAGAGGCAGGAAGATAGGCAGGATTAGGGGACAAGGAGAATTCTGGGAAAGGTAAGCAGAAAGAGACTTCGAAGAAATGCCCTGTAGCCGCCAAGGAGAAATAGGTCCAGACATTCTCCGGTAAGCCAAGACCACATGGAAATGCACAGATTAGTAGAAATGGGTTAATAATTAAGACACAGCTAGCCAATAAGAAGCCCTAGCTGTCGGCCAATTGTTTTATAATTAATATAGCATCTCTGTGTGTTTATTTGGGGCTGGAGGGCAGTGGGACCTGGCGGGACAAGTTACAGGATTGACTCTTTTTGTCGCTACTCTTTTTTAGATAGAGCCTCACTGTGTAGCCAAGGCAATCCAGTCTGACCTGGAACTCATTTGTGACAATCCTCCTGTTGTAGCCTTCTAGAGTGCTTGGAATATAGGTCTATACTACCAGGCTTTTTTTTTTTTTTTTTTGCTTTTGGAGACAGGGTTTCTCTGTATAGCCCTGGCTGTCCTGGAACTTACTCTGGAGACCAGGCTGGCCTCGAACTTACAAAGATCCACCTTTGCCTACCAAGCTTTTTCCCCTGTGTGTGTCTGTGTGTGCTATCAAGGGTTAAAGGTATTAGGTCTCATGCAGCAGGCTTTCCTGGACTGACAGGCCTCAAATAATGACACAGAGCCTTATTATTAATTATGAATGCTCGGCCTTAACTTAGGCTTGTTTCTAGCTAGGCTTTCTTTTTCTTTAACTTAAATTAATCCATCTATGTGCTGCCCTAAGGCTTGTTTACCCCATCTGTAACTGTCTACACTGCTTCCCTCTCCCTCTCTCTCTCTCCCTCTCCCTCTCTCTCTCCCTCTCCCTCTCTCTTTCTCTGTCTCTCTTTCTCTGTCTCTGTCTCTGTCTCTGTCTCTCTCTCTGTCTCTCTCTGTCTCTGTCTGTCTGTCTGTCTGTCTGTCTGTCTCTCCTAGATTTCTCCTCCTACTCATCCTCTCTGCCCACCAGCCTGCCCATCCCTCTACTGCCTAGCTATTGGCCGTTCACCTTTTTATTAGACGCACCAGGTCACTAGAGCAGGCAAGGAGAAACAGCAACACATCTTTACTTAGTTAAACAATTATTTCCCAACACAAATTCAGCACATAGCTCTTCTATTCCACAACTGTCTCAGACAGTACGAATGTCCAGAAAGAATCCCAGCACTCGGGAGGCAGAGGCAGGCGGATCTCTGTGAGTTCGAGGCCAGCCTGGTCTACAGAGCGAGTTCCAGGACAGCCTCCAAAACAATACAGAGAAACCCTGTCTCGAAAAATCAAAAAACAAAACAAAAAAAACCCCAAAACAACAACAAAAACAAACAAAAAGATCTCAACCTGGACTGTAGGAAGGGTTTTTTAAACACAGGCCAGTGTTCCCCAGGAACTTGTGAAACCAGTTTCCACCGGCCAAAAGAAGTCATTTCCCTTCCCTCTGGCAGAAGGGAACCGCGCCAATCAGCACATCAAAGCACAATCTGGCCTCCAGGTTCCCTCAGTATCCCAGGTGCCTGTTTTTCCTTTCAAGGCCCTCCTCAGCCTCTTCCTCCAGCACCCTTATGACAGGAGGTGGGAGGGAGCAGCCTCGCCCAGGTCTCCAGGGCAGAGGACCCTAGGGCCCCCTTCCGCCGCCAGCTCAGGGAGAATGCTGAGGAAGAAAGGTGTGGCTCTGTACACAGCCCTGTCCCCACACCCCCATCAGAGGGGCAGCCGGCCAAAGGCCAACCAGATAGGCGGCAGCTGGGGCCCGCCTCTCCGCTCCACTGCCGGGTTCTCCCTGTCAGCCCCGAGCTCAGCTCTTCTCTGGAAAACGGAGACCTGATAGTGACAGTGTGCCGCAGACACAGAGGCAGAACGTCCCGGCACTCCGCAGGTGCCTGGTGAATGTCAGTGGCTCTTTAAATTGCTATTTTGTCTGTTTCGGTTTTGTTTGTTTCTTATTGCCACGGTGGAAGCTTCGCCCCAGCCCCTGGCATCCGTAAACCCAAAGAGTCTGAGATGTTCTGGTGGAGGTTCCACCCAAGACCCCTTCCCCATCTCCCTCCAAACCCTGCTGCAGCTCAGAAAGCTCCACCCCCAAATGATGACCCCTCCCCCAGAGATGCTCAAGACCACTCCCACAGGGTATTTAAACTGTCTCCCAGAAACCAGACAAGTGGGGGTTTTTTGTTTGTTTGTTTGTTTGTTTTTCGAGACAGGGTTTCTCTGTTTTGCTTTGAAGGCTGTCCTGGAACTCGCTCTGTGCCTGCCTCTGCTTCCTGAGTGCTGGGAGCAAAGGTGTGTGCCACCATGTCTGACTGGCCCTTGGGTTGGTTTTGTTGTTGTTGTTTTGGTTCTTTTCTTTCTTTCTTTCTTTCTTTCTTTCTTTCTTTCTTTCTTTCTTTCTTTCTTTCTGTCCGTCCGTCCGTCCTTCCTTCCTTCCTTCCTTCCTTCCTTCCTTCTTTCGTTCTTTCTTTTTTGAGACACATGTAGCACAGACTGGCTTGATTGATCTGGGATTTCAGGTGTGTAGCTCCCGCTCGGCCGCCATATTGAATCCATGAGAAGCCGGCCACTGAATATACTCCATGCCCAGAGAAAGCAGAACGTCTGTATTCTCAGCCGTCAGGGGCCCAGAGATGGGAAGTTCGCCGTGGGTTTGAGGCTGTCTCACAAACAAGCAGAATAAAGCAGGGGTGGGTTGCGTATGGCACACTGAGCTTTGGACAATGGGGCTATGAAGAGTCACCGTGTGGACACCGAGGGATCGTGAGGTGTCCCTGAGTCCCAGATTTCCCCACAGAGGAGAAAAGCCGAACTCCATGAAAACATCTGTTCTTAAATCAGGGAGGTGGCTCCAAAGGTAAAATGCTTTCCGGGAAAGTGTGTCAACCTGGGTTCAAACCTTGGGACCCACAAGAAAGCGGAAGGAGAGAACTGACTCTTCAAAGTTGTCTTCTGACCTCCCCAAGGGCTCTATGACACTCTCGTGCTCCATCTCTCTCTCTCTCTCTCTCTCTCTCTCTCTCTCTCTCTCTCTCTCTCTCTCTCACACACACACACACACACACACACACACACAGAGCCATTTGTTTTAGCTAGGGGTGGCTGTGCTCACCCATAATCTCAGCACTAGGGAGGCTGACGCAGTATTCTGACACCGATGTGGGTGTCGGACATCTGATATCAGGTCTTCAGCCCTGTGCGGCAAGTCCAGCCTGGGCTACATAGTGAATTCCCGGCCAGCCTGAGCAAAAGACAAAGGAAGCCGGGTCTGGTGGTCCAGGCCTGCAACCCCACCTACTGGGGAGGCAGGGGGTGGGGGGGTTGGGGGGAGGACCACAGTTTCAAAGGCACTGGTCAGTAATGAGACCCTGTCAGAAGTACAAAAAATAAATAAAAGGGCACCACAGAGGGCGCTCAGTGAGTGATGCTCGCCTGTGAGTGCACTCAGTGAGTGACGCTCGCCTGTAATGCAGGCTCCAGAGGCAGAGCCGGCTGCAAGCTCAAGGGGCAACCTGCGAGAGTTCGAGGCCAGCCAGAGCTATACAACAAGCCCTTGTCTCACGAGAACAAACACTGGGGCTACTGGAGCACTTGTCTGGCAGGAGACCATCTCTGGCTTCATTTCCAGCACTGGACTGTCACCCTCCACCCCCTACCCCTTAACAATCAGGGTTTGGAGACATTTGAACTAGACTGGGAAATTGAGTCTTCCAGAGGGTACTGCCAATTTCCTTCTTTAGCAAAGGAAAACATTTCAAGTGTAAGACTCCCAAACTGGTTGAACGACATTGCCAACTATTTTTTTTTTCTTTACGGGGTGTAAGGGAGCTGTAAACCTGTGCAGCGCCACCTACTGTCTAACCGTGGAACTGCATCTTGTGCACGTGTTCATGACAAAGGAGCATTTATTATTATTATTATTGTTGTTGTTGTTGTTATTGTTATCTTTCTTTTTGTTTGTTTTTCAAGACAGGGTTTCTCTATGCAGCCCTGGCTGTCCTGAAACTCCCTCTGTAGATCAGGCTGGCTTCAAACTCACAGTGACCTGCCTGACTCTGCCTCCCCAGTGCTGGGATTAAAGGCGAGCATCACCACTGCTGGGCCATTTTGTTGATTTTAAACATTTTTAAAAATTAAAATATTATTACATCATCTATCCTCTCCTCTTTCTTTCTCCAACACATCCTTTTAAAAATATATTTTTAAAGCCGGGCAGTGGTGGCACTCACCTTTACTTCCAGCACTCGGGAGGCAGAGGCAGGTGGATCTGTGAGTTTGAGGCCAGCCTGGTCTACAGAGAAAGTTTCAGGACAGCCAAGGCTACACAGAGAAACCCTGTCACAAAAACAAAAGGAAAAAAGTGGACCTACTACTTCAAATTAAAAACATGTTTTTTTTTCATTTATTTTATTGGTATGGGTGTTTGGTCTGCATCTGTGCCTGCGCACCATGCACGTACAGTGTTCAAGGAGGGCAGACAAGGACATCAGATCCCCTGGAATTGGAGTTACTGACAGTTTGGAGCCACCACGTGAGTGCTGGGAATCGAACTCAAGTCATCCGGAGGGAAGCGTCAGGTCTCAGCCACTGGGCCATCTCTCCGGCCCACGCTGAGTGTTTTCTACACTGGTGTGCGCGCCTCCACTCTGCAGGGCCACATAGACAAAAGCATGTGCAAGACTTCATTCTCAGGGCACTGAAGAGTGAGTCGGGCGTGAGTCGAACTGCCCACGGTTTCCACTTTGTTTTGTCTTCAAGTCTGAGGAATATTTCTTGCCGGACTTGGAATTCCTTTCCTGTGAATGCATGTGTGATGCGTGTGTGTGTGTGTGTGTGTGTGTGTGTGTGTGTGTGTGTGTGTGAGAGAGAGAGAGAGAGACTACTCACATGAGATGAGCCACTGGAGGAGGGCGCAGGTGTATGTGGGTATGTACGTCTGGGGGCCTGAGGCTGATATCCTGAGTCATTTTTGATGCCTCTCTGTAGACAGGCTTTTTTTTTTTTTTTTGGGCTGCCAACTCACAAAAATAAAAATGACAGAGACTTATTATTAATTATGAAAACCCAGCCTTAGCTTAGGTTTGTTTCCAACTAGCTCCTATAATGTAAATTAACCCATATTTTTAATCTACATTCTTCCCTGTGCTCATTACCAACATCTCCATTTTGCCCATCCTGGTTCCTCCGTGGCTGGCTGGCTGCCCTGCCTTTCTTCAGAGAGCTCTTTCTGCACCCCTAAGTCCCATCTAATCTCTTCCTGTGTAACTAACGGCCACTCAGCTCTTTATTAAACCAGTTACAATGACACATCTTCACACCGTGTAAAGGAATATTCCACAACAGCTCTCCGCCTTTTTTTTTTTTTTTTGATTTTGTTTTTCGAGACAGGGTTTTCCCGTGGCTTTGGAGGCTGTCCTGGAACTCGCTCTGGAGACCAGGCTGGCCCCGAACTCACAGAGAGCGGCCTGCCTCTGCCTCCCGAGTGCTGGGATTAAAGACATGTGCTACCAACGCCCGGCTCCAGCTCTCCGCCTTATTTATCAATGCAGGGTCTCTCAGTTGAAGCTAGAGCTAGCCAATCAGCTACCAGCTAGCCAGTTGGTTCCGGGGACCCCTGTCTCTGCCTTCTGGAATCGGCATTTACAGGCAGGCTGCCAGTCCCATCTGGCGTTTATGTGGGTGCCAAGGATTCAACATGAGGTCCTAACCCTTGTTCGGCAAATGCTTTACCAAAGGAATCTTCTCCCCCAGCTCTAGATTTAGAATTCTTGACAGCTGGTTCTCTCCTTCCAAAATTTGAAAACCCACCACTTCCAGTGGGAAATCGGCTTTCATTTCTATTGTTGCACCCGCAGGAGTGCCTCGGAGTGTTCTCCACAACACCCACTTTGCAGTCGGCTAGCCATAGTTCAGTGAGGCCTCTGGGCACAGATTCCTTCAGCTAGAGTTCCAGACACCGCTCGCTTGTGGGTATGAATTCCATCTCCTTTTCCCGAGAAAGCGAACGGTTGGTGCTAAGGTTTACGCTGTGGGAGTACCTTGCGGATCTCAGCCAAGGAATGCCACACAGATCACACACAGAGATTTACGGGGGCAAAGGCTGCCTAGAGAGGGGGACAAGGGAGAGGCAGACAGGTTATTGCATGGGCGGAGAGGCTTATCTGGGTGCAGAAATCTAAGCCTCTCCTTCCATGCAGCAATCCAAATCCGACCAAATCAAACCGAATTAGAAAAGCCCATGTTTAATGGATACAATGCTCCTGGATGGCCTTTCAGCCCCCCAGAGAGGAGATGGGGAAGGGAGACGGGAAAATCATGAGAGTCTGCTCTCTGGGGGGCAGTTTAAATACCCTGTGGGCGTGGTCTTCTCTCTCTCTCTATAGCTTTGCCTGCATGTACTCCTGCACACCAGAAGGGGGCACTGGATCTCACTATAGATGGATGTGAACCACCATGTGGGTGTTGGGACTTGAACTCAGGACCTCTGGAAGAGCAGCCAAGTGCTCTGAAACTCTGAGCCAACTCTCCAGCCCCCCACTCTGTCTCTTTAAATCTGTTTGTCTGCTACAAGGTGCAAGTCAGAGATTACAGATTACACTCTGGTTCTCTCTTTATACTTTTATCCAGTCCTGTTTGATATATCTGCTTGTCTCTGTACATGTGATTTAAATTTAACTTTATATATGTGAATGTAAGCTAACTCTATGCAACTTAAATTCAGCTGTGCTAAGTCTCAAATATTTCCAAATTGTTACGTATCTTTAAATGATGATAAACATTTAAGGTTATAAAGATCTATTTCAAATGAACAAAATGTTTACACCACCCAGTCCTTCCTTTAAGCTGTTTACAAAGGTCAAGCTTATATTACAAAAGGGGATCGTCTCTACTTCTTTGTCCTGTAGAGGTGTAAATCTAACCTACTAAGTTAAAACAGTCACAGTCAGGCTAGAGGGCTCTGAATAAAACATTCACAGCCTCTCAGCTTCAATCCAGTTCTCCAGACAGATCCTCCCCTAAGGTCATTGTAGTCATACTAACCTGTGACCGTACAATTTAATTACAGGGATAAAGCCTTATGTAGCCACCTATATGCTTAAGGCAAGTAGCTAAAGACAAGTTTTGTCTGCTGAGGTATGTTAAACAGACAGCCCTCAAATGCGCAGAGATCTAGAGAATATGGCATTTGAAATGTTTTATTAAAAAGTTTTCCTTAACAGAGACAGAGGCCAGCAGCTGGCATCAGCCCATTTCCTCCAAGAAGACTGGTGGGTGCTGAAGAAATTCTACCCACAAAAGTGGTAACGCTGGCCACTGAGCAATCCTGCCTTTTACCTCAACTGCTGCAAAGGACTCTTTTGGACCATGGACAAGAGGACAGTGGAATCGACTTTCTCCACATTGCTTGGGCCAATGGTAGGCAAGTCTTCCTGCAGCTCCTAACCCACAGGTCCCACGCTATCAGCAGAAGGCGAATGTCCTTAAAGCCTCTGACCTCAACAACTGCGGAGGACCTGGGGGTGGCTGTCCATGCAGCGGGCTAGCATAAATCTCTCTCATTCTCTAATAATTAATTCAGGTAACATTGTATCCTTCTCAAGAACTCTGATGCAGTTTGACAGCTGTTAGTTTCAATATAACTTCTTAACATTCCTTTGTTTAAAAAAAAAGTGTTTTAAGGTATAACAAAGTAACTTAAGGTGTTGGGGTTCTCCGAATTGAGGAGAGTCTTAGTTTGGACCGGTTTTGAGTGTGTTGTAACCTCCATTTTGTCGTCCTGTCCTCTGCTGAACCTCCGCTGGCCACGGCCTTCTTGGCAGGAGAGGCGTGGATCCATGCTGCAATCCTGTCTACTTTGAGAGCCGTGGGGGTCATCAGGATCACAGTGTAAGGGCCTTTCCAGCGGGGTTCAAGAGGCTTAGCTTGGTGGTGTCGGACGTACACAGAGTTCCCGATCTGGAACGGGTGGGGCACTGTGGAATTTCCAGCCTGGTATACTGCAGCCAGTGGTTTCCAGATCTGATTCTGGACGAGATGAAGGGCATGTAACTGGGCCTGGAGGGATGGGGGGTCAATGGGATGATTAGGGTCTATGGGAAGTGTACTCAGGATAGGCGGGGGCCCTCCAAATAGGATCTCAAATGGAGTTAGCCCATGCACTGAAGGGGTTTTCTGAACTCGGAACAGCGCCATGGGTAGGAGTCGTACCCAGTCTCTAGTGCCAGTCTCTATGGTCAGTTTGGTTAAGGTCTCTTTAATTGTTCTGTTCATTCTCTCTACCATTCCTGAACTTTGGGGTCTGTATGCACAATGTAGTTTCCAATCAATCCCCAATGTTTTGGCCACCAACTGACTCACCTGAGAGACAAAGGCAGGTCTGTTATCAGACCTGATTACCTTGGGTAGCCCGAACCGTGGGAAGATCTCTTCAAGAATTTTCTTGACCACCACCTGTGCAGTTTCACGCTTGGTGGGAAATGCCTCAGTCCATCCTGAAAAAGTGTCTATGAAAACCAGAAGGTACCTGTTTCCGAGGCTTCCAGGTTTGATTTCAGTGAAGTTGACTTCCCAGTTAGTTCCGGGTGGCTCCCCTCTGACTCTAATCCCCTCAGGCAGCTTGAGCCGCCCTGTGTTTACTTTGGCTGGCGCAGGAGGAGGCTGTTGAGGTTGTGGATGTAATAAAATTTCTCCTCTCATTGTAGGAGGTCTTTGAGTTTCTTATGTCCAAGGTGGATCCATTGATATAACTGGAGTAGGAGTTCTTTGGATGTTGGGGTCCCTCGAATTGAGGAGGGGTCCCCAAGCTGGATTTAGGAATGTGGCTGCCCCGAACCACAACTTGTCGGGGTTGAGAAACAGCGCCTGATAATGGGTCATTTGTGCATTTGAAAGTCACCTATCGGGTGGCTGTCGGACCACAGCTTCTATTGCATGGGGGGGCACCATTGTGAATGGCTGACCCAAAGTCAATTTGTCTACATCTTTGGCGAGGACAGCCACTGCAGCCACCATTCGGTGGCATGGGGGCCATCCTGATGCTACATTGTCCAGTTTCTTTGAGAAGTATGCTACCGGTCTCTTCCATGGCCCAAGCTGCTGGGTTAGGACTCCTTTTGCCAGTCCTGCCCTTTCATCCACATAGAGGATGAAGGGCTTGTTTATATCGGGGAGACTCAGGGCAGGTGCTGACAGCAAGGCCCGTTTGATATTGTCAAAGGCCTCCTTGTGCTCCTTTTTCCATACAAAGGGGGCCGTAACTTTAGTCAAAGGGTAGAGTGGGGTCGCTAATTCTGCAAAGCCAGGAATCCAGAGGCGGCAGAACCCCGTGCTACCCAGAAACTCACACACCTCCCTGGAATTTTTGGGTGGGGGAATCAGGGCTACAGCCTGTTTTCGTCCCTCCATCAGCCAGCGCTGACCATCCTGAAGCGGATACCCTAGGTAGGTGACTTGTTCTTACAGAGCTGAGCCTTTTTTGCTGATGCCTGATATCCCAATTCCCCCAACCTTTGTAATAATGCCCCGGTACCTTGGAAGCAGTCATGTTCTGAATCTGTGGCCAGAAGGAGATCATCTACTTATTGGAGTAAAATTATATTGGGGTTGTGGACTCGGAAGTCCGCCAAATCTTGGTACAGGGCTTCATCGAAGAGGGTTGGTGAGTTCTTGAACCCTTGAGGGAGTCATGTCCATGTGAGCTGGCCAGAGAACCCGGTCCCAGGATCTTTCCATTCAAAGGCAAATAGGGGCTGACTCTGAGGGCTCAGTCCTGTGTTCAGTTGGACCTTTTGTTCAGTTGTCCATCGGTGTAGTTTTCCTCCGGTGGCGCCTTGGACCCAGGCTGTCCGGGTACTCAAAGGTCCTCGGGTTTGGGTCAGGACTGAATGTTGAGCTCCTGTGTCAACTAAGAAAGTCACAGGTTGCCCCCCTACGTTTAAGGTTACCCTGGGCTCGGGGGGTGGGGGACTCCCGGCCCTGACTGGCCTAATCTTCTCCTTCCAGGGAGAGGACAGGGATGGGTGGTTGCTTTGTCCTCTCGGGGCAATTTCGGGCCTAATGCCCCTTCTTCTTGCAGTAGGCACATTGGTCTCTTTCCAGTATTGGTCTTTCTTTGTCTCCCAGGTCTCTCGCCCATCTAAGCCTATTTTTAGATTCCTGCACTTTCTATCTCTCTTGTCCTCTCTCTCCTCCTGCTACTTACGTATCCTCTCCTCCTTCTCTTCATGCGTCTTCCTTTTGTTAAAAATCTTTTTAGCCTCCTTTACTAAGTCCTGCAGGGTATAGTCCTGCAGCCCCTCAAGGTGTTGTAACTTAGAGCGTATATCAGGTGCTGACTGTCCGATGAATGACATGATTATGTCAGCTTCCCTCTCCTGGGCCTGGGGGTCAAAAGGAGTATACATCCTGTAAGCCTCCATGAGGCGCTCTAGAAACCCGGCGGGGGTTTCTTCCTTACCTTGAGTTACTGCACGTACCTTGGCCAAATTTGTGGGGCGTCTCCCTGCCCCTTTGAGACCCTCCAACAGAGTCTGGCGATAGAGACGGTGATGCTCCCTACCGTGTGGTGTGTTGAAGTCCCATTCCGGGCAGGTTAAGGGAAAGTGAGCCTCTATCTCATCGGGAAGCTGGGTAGGTCTCCCGTCCGGCCCCAGGACGTTCTTTCTAGCTTCCAGGAGGACTCTCTGCCTCTCCTCTATTGTGGGGAGGATTTGTAGTAGCTGCTGGCAATCATCCCATCTGGGATGGTGGGTAATGAAGATGGACTTGATGAGACCTGTTAGGGCCTAGGGGTCTTGTGAGAAAGAAGGGTTATGAGTTTTCCAGTTGTAGAGATCAGCAGAGGAGAAGGGCCAGTATTGGTAGTTCCTCCCCCCATCGAGCAGAGTGGGAAAGCCTGGGAGGTCTCAGGCTCATCGGCTCCCTCTGCTGTTCGATCTTTCCGTGGTCGCAGCCTGGTAGAGGGGGGTGAGGGAATTGGAGCCGAGGTGGAGTCTGGAACCAGAGGTTCTGGGGAGGGCACTGAGGGAGGTATTGGTGGCGGGGGTGCCACCGGTAGAGGGGCAGGGTGGTAGGGAGGAGGGTCCAGGAGAAGGAGACGCTCCTGTGTGTCTGGGAAGACAGGGGGGGCTTTGGGTTTGGAATCAGGAGTTTGGGTTTCTGTTAAGGGAAACAGAGAGGAAGTTGAAATGGGCGCCGAAGGAGCAGGCATCAAGGGGATGTGGGAAGGCAAGGGAGCCGGCCGGGGGTTTGGAGAAGAAGGAGGGAGAAAAGGCTTAGCCCAAGGGGGCAGGTTGCCGCTCAGACTTTCCCAGGTGACGATGTAAGGGACCTGGTCAGGACAGCCTTGAGGTTTGGGTCTAATAACCCGAGCTTTAACCTGCAAAATAGTGGTGAGATTAAAGGTACCATCCCTAGGCCAGCCCAGGTTAAAGGTGGGCCATTCTGAAGAACAGAAAGTTTTCCATCTCTTTTTTCGAACCTCCATCGCTTCATCATGGGCCCTGTCCAGGACGTCTGGCCAGTGATCTAAAGTCAAACTTAAGGGGGTTGTTAGAGATTGCCCCATGGGTACAGATGAAGACAAACAGTACGAAAGACGACAGACAGGCCACGGCTATAAAGGAGATTCCGGTGCGGGCACGAAATACAGGTCCTGCAGGCACAACACAGGTCCCTGGATCTTTCGTCCCAGGGCACAATACAGGTCTCTGGGGCACAAAAACGAAACCCGGGTAATACAGGCCCCCCAGAGCACAAATACAGGTCCCGCACCAGTATAGACTCAGACAGGAGAGAACACACAGAACATAAATTGTGAGCTCAGTCTTACCTCCAATTGGCAGTGGAGTTGAGTCTGGGGGACACGATCTCGGTGGGACCTCCAAATGTTGGGATTCCCCGAATTGCAGAGGGGTCCCCAAGCTGGATTCATCGCCCCAAGAATCAAGAGTCCACGCGCCAATTGATGCAACAAGCAAGAGGCTTTAATTAGGCATCTGCAGATGGGCCTCTCGGTCAGCTTTTAGACCGATTGGCCCCGAGGTTCAGTTACAATCAGCTTTTAAAGACAAAAACCACAAGCTTTTGGGAGGGGTCCCTGTCTTGTGACCGGGGGTACGTGACTACTGACCAGGGGAAGTAGGTGTCTCCCTGACCTACACGTTGTAAATTCCTCAAACCTTGGTATGAGTTAATCATCTCTCCCTAAGTAAATGGTGGTTATCATCTCCTTGTTTCCCACGAATCTTGTTTGCCCATCTCTGACACCCTGGTCAGTTCTTCACAGGTGGTCAGCAGCCCGGAATTGGCCTTTTGTGGGTTTACAGCCCTTCTGCAATTAAAGTTGCTAAACCATACATCCCATTCAAGGTCTTTCAAAGGTATACAAGTGCAAGTTATCAGATTTCTTTCTCATTGTGCGACTGTTTATAGTCTTAACATTAATGAATAAAGTTCTGATAAGTTACTAATCCAACTCCAACAGAGTACTAAACACCATATTATACCACCATATGATAACTGCAAAGTCAAGATTAAGGTACTTTCGTTGCCCTAAAGATGTCTGTCAATTTTTAAAATGTTAAAGCTTTCAGTCAAAACTCTGATGGGGTGCTAAACAACATGCTCTACCACTATATGATAACTGCAAGGTCATAATTAACATGGCCCTTTGAGCGGAGTGCTCTGGGGTTGGATGAAGTCCTGGGGGCCACTGTAGGAACTCTGGCTTTTCATCTCATGAGTCAGGAGCCAGGGGAAACTTGTGAGCAGAGGGACACAAACAGCTCTAGGTGTTAATGTGACTCCGGGAGCAGGGAGTGAGGCAGTGGCTGGTCAGTCCACATGGGAGAGGGCACATTCTAAGGCCAGGGACAGCACATGGCATTGTCTAGATGAAACCAGTTCCCCAGTAAACAGTCAACATCACAGCCGCCCAGCCTCCCAGCCTCCCTCCCCCTTACACTTCCATCCTCCCTGACTCCCTGGATGGAACCAGTGCCTTACAAAGGCTAGGAGTGCCTCCTGGTGAGCTTGCCACAGCCTGCAGCCGTCTGAGGGGAAAGCCTTGGTTGAGAAACTGCCGAGATCAGATTAGCCCCTGGGTCTGTCTGTCTGTCTGTCTGTCTGTCTGTGTCTTGGTGTTAGGTCTTTCTTGGACAGTCCAGAATTCAGAAATGAGCTCAAACTGGATT